ATTCTCGCTGCTGCTGCTGCTGCCGTTGCTGCTGCTCAAGGCCTCCTGCAGCTTCTCCTTGAAGGCAGCAACAGTTGGGGAGACGCCCTGCAAAGAAAGCTCGAGAGGGAAACGAGGCGGCTTCCTAGGGTTTAGGGTTTAGGGTTTAGGGTTTCTACGGTCTACGGCTCCACGCATCTAGAGTTTCTGGGAATTAGGGTTTACAGAGAATTTAAAGCTTCTAGGGTTTAGGGCTTTTAGGGTTAAGGGTTTCTAGGGCGCCAGGGTTCCTAGGGTTTAGGGTTTGTCGGGCTTGGGGTTTCTAGGGTTTTGGGTTTCTAGGGTTTTGGGTTTCTAGGGTTTAGTGCTTGTAGGGCTTAGGGTTTCTAGGGTTTAGGGTTTCCAGGGTTTAGGGTTTCTAGGGTTTAGGGTTTAGCCGACCTGCAGGGTCTTTCCTTTGAAAAGAGCAAAGCAGTGCCCGTGGCGGTCCACAGCGTCGCGCAGTGGGGAGTAGCTTCCAGCTGTGCACAAACCCTAAACCCTAAACCCTAAACCCTAAACCCTAAACCCTCACGCCGCAGGCGTAAACCCTCATCGGCTGCCTGCTCTTCGGGTCTGCATCCTCGGCGCTTCGAGTCGAGGGTTTGGGGTTTGCGAGCCGCTGCTGCAGCGCGGGCGCCTGGCGGCTGCCAGGCTAGGGTTTAGGGTTTAGGGTTTAGGGTTTGTACCGTCTGCAGGCATGCTGCTGCTGTCGAGGCAAATGGGAGCCAAAGAGTCCATTGCCACATTTTGCTTCTCCAGCTCTTCTATGAAGCTGGAGAATTCCTCCAGCAGGCCAAGGGGTGCGCACACGTCGCTGCTGCTGCTGCTGCTGCTGCTGCTGTTGCTGCTGTTGCTGCTGCTGCTGCTGGTGGCTGGGGCCACGAGGCACAGCACGAAGGCGTCCATGCCCTCGCAGCTCTCCAGCCGCAGGTCCAAGTCCGGCCAGGTAGACTGCAGTCAAACCCCAAACCCTAAACCCTAAACCCTAAACCCTAGCTGGCAGCCAAACCCGCGCAAAAGGCCACCAGTGCTCCCGACCCTGCAGCCAGCAGTTGGGACGCCTAGGGTTTAGAGTTCGGGCTAGAGGGCAGCGCCGCGGGGCCGGGCCCATAACTAGGGTTTAGGGTTTAGGGTTTAGGGTTTAGCCTGCCTGCTGCAGCCGCCTGTCGCAAGCAGCAACAAGAGGCTCCTGCTGCGGCCGTCGGCC